TATGGAAAACCTGGGAGTATCTGAGCCAAAAGCACAATAACATCAAGCAGGTACAGCCCGTTTAACAACAGGATTAAAAAGAACAATGTTTCATAAAATAGACATATCAGAGAACTCTGCGTCCTCGATGAGTACGTTATGGACAGATAAACTATGTGACAAAACCAAGTCCAGTGTGTGACCATGTTCTTGAGTGGCACAGAACAAAATTACAAGAGTTTACTAAGTCCAGAAAGTCTCCCTGGCTAAAGACTTACAAAATCTATAATTTTAATATACAGCAGACGTATGTATTAAAATCACAGAGCAGAAGGATCTGGTTATACCATGATGCACAATCAGCAAGAAACTCTGAGAACTCGGATAAAAACTCCTTATTATATTTATTATATTGTTTGATAAACAATCGCCCACAACAGCGAAGACGAGTGGCCCAGTTCGCACAAACAGAGTTCAAAACTGGTGTGGCGTGTTCATGGGGATAGCTGCTTAAAGTCAAGATGTGCCTTAAAAACAACAGCTAGCACTCTCCCACAGCCAGAAACTCTCGGGGCACTATCGCAGCCAGCCAGCAATAATTCAGATAAATGGTTGGAATGATGGAATCCAAGTTTCAGTCAAACAAAGAAAATCCAGCGATGGGAAGAGAAAAATTCCTTCAAAATGAAGGTCTTATTTGCCACCAATCTGGCATTAATTAAACCAGAGGAAAACAAGAAATCCGGAATCTCAGCTTGATGAGGTGACCTCCACGGTTACCCCCTCTCCCTCTCCTGTGTCGCTTCCACAAATCCAGTGGCAGTAGAAAGTAACGCTAGTGCGGTGGGGTTACTTCCAAACAGGGAAGTAACACAGGTTGTTGTTTCCAAAAAGAGCTAAAATTTGGGTGGATAAACTTATTTCCAATAATGTCTGGCGATCATAAGACAGTGTAGGGCTGACATGTTGCACAAAATTGACTAAAAGCAATAAAATAAAACAAATAAAAGAGATAAGAACGATAGACGGCGTGCCAAACACACGGGCAAAATGCAAAAAAACCACGAAACAGCGAGGCTGCGAAAGGTGGACCACGTTATAGCGAGGGACCACTGTATTTCAAATTTTATTTAATTAATGGCACATTTAATTACTTAATAATGAATCATTTGACTAATTATTTATTTATTTCCATTTTTGATTAATTATTGACACATTTAATTATTTATTAATGATGTATTTATTATATAAATTTTAGCAGTCCTGACAATAATATTAAAAGTGTATCTGGTGGCACATAAACAGAGTATTTAAAGTTTTGTTAGTTTTTATATGTACTTTGTTGGTGTCACGAAACGCCCACTGAAAGAATGGCCACAAGGCTAAAGCGATGGTTTTGACTCGATCAGCGTTAACCCCGCCCCCTGGCTTTGATGGGTGAGGCTGACAGATAAAATTAATTCAAGAACACAGCCAAAATGAATTTAAAAAAAAAACTACATTATTAGATAAATAATTAAACGTGTCAGTAATAGATTCAAACATTGAAATAAAAAATTAATTAATTATATGTGTCACTAATAAAATAACATTTGAAATAAATAAATAATTTATTAAATGTTTTAATTGAAATGAATGGGGATTTAATTAATTATTGAAATATTTACTGAATTAATCAACTTCTATTGTAATTAATTAATGAAACATTTAATTGATTATTCAATGACGTATTTAACTATTCTCTTTGGCTCTCAGCGAAGGCGGTCGCACTTTTCTCCTCTCCTCCTCACCCTTATCTTCCCTGCTTAGCCTCTATGTCCTTGTCTTGTCTCGTGTGCATTACTTTCCCTGGAATAGACTCACACGGTCGTTCTCTAAAACCTAAAAGAATTATGGATTTGATCAACTGGTCTCTGAATGCTATTGACACCCTTTTCTCAACGAGAAATCTGGGCTCGGGAGAGCCTGAGTGCCCTGGAGGGACTTTCCCTGCCGGATACACGATGGACAGGTGGCAGAACTGGAGGGTCATGTGTCTGGCGGGACTGCCGATCGAGGAAGCTGAAGATATCTATCTATTCGGAACCATGATAACAGGGTTCGTGCTGATCGGAGTTGGCTTAGCCCTGGTTTATCGGAGAAATAAGAGAGCGGAACCGGCTGTTCAAACCCCCCCCAAGGCTGCCCGCTGGAATTGAAGTGATGGGACGAGGCGCGACCTCTCACAACGAACATAATATGGTCAACACCTTGGAGACGCTTACAGCTGCTGTGAAGGCTCAAAGCAACAACATTGAGCGTATGGGGGGATACATCAGAGAGAGGTCTGCTCAAAATGGGACCCTTGAGCGAAAGTTGGACGACATCATGGAACGGATCATTGCAGTTGTGAGGTCTCAGAATCAAAAGAATGACAACACCATGGATCAGAAGCTTGATACCATCATGGGGAGGCTCGCGACTCTCCAACGGGAGATCGAGAGGCCAGTGTCGGTTAGGGCAGCCTGAAAATTCTCCTGGGCTGCTCGCATGGAAATTTACAAATCAACATTGAGATTGCTGACCCCCATAACGGCGCCAGCTGCAGGCCCAAGGCTGGAGCCGAACAATCACTCCCTGATAACGACTGTGTTACAGCTATTCTTCCCGTCCCATGCAAGGACACCTGGATTGGCTGGAGGACTGTTTACTTAGCCTGATAGGCCGAAGGACACTGTCTCAGCTAAACTATGGACACGCACACACACACACTTACACTGATAAGCACTCACTCATCCCCCTCCCTTTCCAACGCCTTCGATGCTTGTGCCCTACCGGGGAAGATAGCAGTGAACTGGACCAGCACAGCTGCTGCAGGACCGGATGCGCTGTCTACACCGGCTCTCTCTTACCCTTTACCCGCCCCTGTTGTCTTGTGTTTCTATGGTGTATGGATAGTCATGTGCTTTTGTGCTGAGGTGTTTTTTCTGTTATCAAACTGTTCTCCCACTAGGAGCTCAGTCTGAGTGGAGTTTTTTTTCTCCTCCTCTTACCTCATGTAGTGTATTTTCGTTGTTTTTTCCTATCAGCCTACCTTCTGACATGTCTGCCCAATGTGATGTTTGTGTAAAGTTGGTCAGAAGGTTCCTTTGTGAGTGCGCATGCGCCATTAGCGTGCTGCCTGCTGTAACCCTAATTTCCCTCGGGATGAATAAAGTGTAGCCCTGTCTGCAATTATTCGGTCTTCACTACTGGTGAACTAACTGCCCGTTTCTGATTGCCCCACTAACAAACTCATTGGACTCGTGAGTACTAACTGGAACTAAAGTGCACATATTTTGTTTATTGCTCAGTTTGAGTGAAGCGGCCATCAGTTTTAGGCCTCACCGCACCCGAACTTCGAATCAGGCCTGCATCAAGCACCGTGCTACAGGTGTAGTGTGGACAGGTTAAAGTGTGTGTGTGTGTGTGTGGGCCCACTGTTACACAATCGGTTTAAATTGAGTAAGTGTGTAGTTGATCAAAGTTATTGTCAAAGGTTGAAATTCATCCATGTTAAAGGTGTGAGCTGTTGTAGCTGAAATAACAGTTGAAATACCTAAAAAGGAGGTATTTTAGGTTGATAATCTTTTATTTAAAATCCATGTAGTCATTTTTACAGTATTTTTGTTTGTTTATTTGAATTCAATCCATTTTATTAAAGTAACTGTTTATTTTATTCATTTCTTTTGTCTAAATAAATACCCGGTGAGGGATAAATTTGTGTAAAATACAGTTGTGGTGGTCCTTATTATAGCAATTAGAGGGTATCAGGTATTATTATTAGTAGCACTACGAACCCAGGCCCAGTCTCATTGTACTATATACTCTAGCTTTACCATAGCTACATGGGACCTGGGTTACAAAAGTATTCTGATTCTGATTTAATAATTCATTTTGTCACTCCTTGCCCTCCATATTTTTCTGGGTCACCTCCTTGTGAAACTGTTTCTCCTCCAGGTTGGGTAAGGTTATCACAATATTTTTGATAGATTCAATCAGGATTTGATGTCAACAGTAAGGGTACGGCACATTTTGTACGTCCTGTGGTTATCCTGAATCTGACAGCAGCCACTGTAAATGTTTTTATGAAGCCATTTGTAAATTGTGTATATGTCAAAATAAGTTCACTACAGTAACATTTCTGTTTCTCCCCTTTGTTCAGAGGTGTAATGTTAAATATGTAACACCTTCAAAATAACAGCTGCTCCTTACTGCTGCAACCAACGCCTTTTAAAAGGCACTAATGGTATACTGAAAAATAATGAGCTACATTTCTTATTGTGGCAAGTTGAAGGTTGGCTCTTGTTGGGGACTGCTGCAATCTACTTGCATCCAAAGGAAACACAAGAAGGTTTTTAAATCCAGCATGGTATACCTACTTGAGACCAGTTTCATTTAGCAACTGCCCCCAACCTCTCGCAACCAACTGACTGGAGGTTTCCAGGGGTCATCAACAAGTCTCTACACCTTTTGCTTCTCAAGTCTCAGTCAAAAGATTTAGAGACTTCTTGTTAATTCTGCTGAGTTCAATTTTGCATTTGCATCTAAAAAAAAAAAGAAAAAAGAAAATTCATTGGAGTCTTTCTCAATTTATGTTATTTCAGTGTTTTGTAGTTTTCTTACTGTCCTTTTGAACTTGCTGGTTGATGGTGGAACAGTGTTTATGAAAGAAGAAAATCAAATTAGACCTGACTCCATCATTATAAGATCACATGGGCCTTTGCTATGCAATGTTTGTTGTTGTTATTACAAATGGTAGGACAGTCCCTATTACATTTTACATGATGTAGTCTAATATAAATTGTATATATAGTGTAAGAGCACAATTAAATAGTTAAATTCTTATGATGCACATTCAGGGTCACAAGAGGACTGGAGCCTATCCCAGCTGTCATAGGGTGAGAGGCAGGACGCACAACAATATATTTCATAATAAAAATGTAAAAATAAAAAGGATTCTTCCCACCTCTAAAATACCTGGAAATGATCAACTACTTAAATTTCTTTTATTTAATTTAATTTCTAGTATAATTACTTTTTCCTCCAAAGCCTTGAATTATTCTTCCCCTGATCTGCTGTTTCTAATGTTTTTGTAGGTAAATATATTTAGGTTCAAACAAAATACACAGGAATTTGGTCAAATACAATACAATAGTAATTACCTGGTATCAACAGTGGTTATACATAAGTAACATTACATGGATGTATTTAAAAACAGCACAGAAACTGGTAATAATGTAGAAAAAAAACATTTTTCTACGAGGCAAAACCAATTAAGAAGCATATAGTAATAGTTTTGTTGCAATATGATAACCTGTTAGAATTTTTAAAAGTACATACATTAGACTTCATATACAGTGAACCATAGGATCCTAATCTGGTAATGCTGGACGAGTATTTGAGCCTCATCTCCGTCTTCAGGCTGTTGTCGTTTACAACACCAAAAAGTGATGAACAGCAGCCCCAACAGGCCGTAGGTCAGGTTGGTGCTCCAAAATGCAAACAGGTAGAAAGTCTTGTTGCAGTAGATAATGCCTGTGGTTACGCTCTTATTGAAGTTGGGTTTTATATCCGAGTACATGAACACATTAACTGTAAAAATATTTAAAATACTGCTGTAGTGCATTGTTAAAAACAACAACAGTAACTCATTCATTGAAGATCAATATAAACTAAAAACCTGTTTTTTTTTATTACTATTCAGAGTATAACTTGCCTGTACTTTTTCTCTTTTACTTAAGTAATTAAAGCTTACCACCAAGGTAAAAGAAACAGATGACGAGGAGGGGCACAGAGCAACAGCCTATGTTGCACCACTTGCACCGCCCTCGGTGCAGCAGGTACAGCAACTGCTTTCTTGGTGTAATTGGAAACTGCTGCATTCTTTTCGCTGTGCACATGCTCAGTGCCAGAAATGCAGATATGAATCCATAATTATAGATGCATATGGGGATGTAGAACTCTCCTTTGCATTCATCAGTTGCTAAAGCTGTGGTGTACGGGGATAAAACAGAAACAAATGTCAAAATAAAATTCTGTTGAATTTAATCTGATTATTACAATAACAGTGTCTGTCACTTACCAACTATCACTTGAGCAATGAACATGATGCAGGAAATCACCAGGATACACCCTGAAGAAGAGCAGATACAGTGAGTCCCATATAGCACTACGCACCGTCTGCACATGTGTAGAAGAATTTCCACATCAGCCTCTCACCTAATATTGTTGTTCGAGGTTCGGAGGTGCATTTTGGTCTTTCACTCTCTGGCATTATTTCTAGTTTTATATCTGTCCTAAAAAGACACAAAAGACATTCATCTGTTAAATTGGCAAATAAAAACAGGTAGACTGAAGAAAGACAATGAATTTTACTTTTTTTTAAAAAATCCTTTTTACGTTGTAAGTCTGCCAGAAGGACGTGTAACTATTTTTTAATCAAACCTAAAATGACACAAAGAAAGCCACAAGATATTCTCCACTTTATATTTCTGTTATACTGTTAAGTGATAAATGGAAACATACCATGATATAACACATGAATAAAATTACAATGTATGATTTAAAATGAAGGAAAAACCTGATAATGTAAAAGCATATTACCTACTTTTTACTGATTGTCTTTTGCAGCGTACAGAAGAATTTCAAATCACAAATAGTAGTCTGTGAAAGAGCAAATTGTTAATTCTAAAATCTAAATGGTTATTGGATACCCAAAAAAGTTCAACAAACAGATATTTCCATAAGAAATCCACTTTAGAAAGCTTGTAAACATCATTCCTGTCTCAAAATAGTTAGCAAATTAAAGTGTGAAAGTGTTATGTAGGCTGTTGCAGACCAACCTGTTTGTGTGTCTGGCAGGACTTCCTTGAAAGGGACTCTTGCAGGAACATGGCCACATATAACATGGGCATGTGAGCATGTTGCTTCAACTTCCTTTTACAGCATCTTTCACTTTCTTTTTTAGTTTTAGTATTCTTTTTCATCCAGCCATTTACTGAGATAATTATGTTTTTAATCATTTGTTTGTATGTAACGTTACATAAAATTCTTTTTACATTTACTTCTAAGGAGCTCTTTTGCATTCACAGACCAGAGAAAAACATCACTGACAGCGTGTCTGTCACAGCAAAACCTCAGGAGAGGAACACTTCCTCTCATTTGTCCTAACCCACTAAGACCTCGCTACATAAACATCTTTATGTCGTATTTCTCCACAGGACAAGGTTTGCCTGTTTTTCTAAAATATATTCCGGGTTTTAGTTCCCACCATGAATCTTTTTTTAATTCATTGTTGAGTGTGAAAAAATACTATGACATCATTCTTTTAACAGCTGACCAGGATTAGAGAAGATAGTGTCAGATAAGGACAGTCATTTTTAAAAATAATATTTTGTTAATTTTAGGACAGCATGCATTTTGTAACATTAACATAGACATAATACATTAAATTACATCAAATTCAGCACTGTGTAAAGGTCTTTAGCCACGTCTTGTTTCTTTATGATGTATTTCTAAGCAGTCAGACTTTGGATATTGGCTGCTTTTTCATTTATTTTCATTCCTTTTACATTTAGAGATGGTTTTTTTGTTGTTTATTAAGCAACTTAACGCTGATCTGTGAGTCATTCAAGCATGAAAAAGGCTGTGTTGTGTCTATGCATAACAAAAAACCCAAAGCCAGCCACACAAACACATAAATTATTTACATTTTGTCTGTTGAATCTATTGAAAATACCAAAGATAAAACAATTTGACAGACATAAAATGGAATCCTTGCACCAAGGGTTACATCTGTAACCAATGATTAATAATCATTACAGACTGTAGATTCTCTGACTGTTGAGATTGATCAAAATATATTTTTCGTAAAGGTATTTTTGAACCAATGAGGGGGATACAATCATCTTGACAGAAAAAAAGAACAAAGGGCAGCTTTGAATGCCCTTGAAGAAGCCTGGAGAACTATTCCTGAAGACTACTTAAAGAAAGCCCGTGTTGAGGAATAAAGGTTATCATACCAAATATTGGCCTTCAAGCTTGTTAGAACTATAAAAACTTTCTTGCCTTGGATACTGTCTGTTTCCTTGTATGTTTGTACATTTTAATAAATCCGTGGACCTATTTCTGATCTTCCTGGAAAAACGTAAACGTACACTTTACATTGACATTTCTATGTACATGTATTACTTATGATTGATGATCATTTCACTCAAGACTCCAGGCTTTCTCTGATTTTGTTACTGGATCAACAGATATATTCTCTAAGCATTTCTATGATGTTTCCTCAGTATTCAGCCTCACACATTTGGTATTTCTGCGCTCACAAGCTTATAAAATTGACCTATTAGAGAATCAATGGGATGAAAAAAAAGGATATTATTCATATCTAAGGATGTCATTACGTAACAGAGTACTGCTGCAAAAGTATTTAAAAAGAGTAAACCTCCAACATTAATTACTTAAAATATAAATTGTCATTCTTCTCTGATAAAAGATCAAACATGTACATTGCTCATTAGAACATTTGATTATATCTACATAAGACAAACAGGCAAACTGCCTTTAAATGCATTATTTGCCCTCATTTACTGACAGTGTATGATTATCTTTTTAATTAAGTTTGCTTTGTCTCTATTTATTACCGCACAAGTGTTTGAGTCTCATTATCACCATCACCTCGTTGTCTACAACAGCAATAGGATAAAAAGAGCAGTGCTAACAGTATGTATGTCATGTTGGTGAACCAAAATGCGAACAGGTAGAGTGTCTTGTTGCAGTAGAGATCAGGCTGCGCTGTAGTCTTGTCGTACTTGGGTTCATAAATGGAGTAGATGACAATACTACCTGTAAAAAAACAAAACAAAAACAAAAAACAAAGACAGAAAGGCAAAAAAAAGAGCTTTAAAATAGTTTTTTTGGGGGGGCATCTGTGCTAACAGTCACATCTGTGTGCCTGAGATGACCCTTTTAAGGATATCCAAAATCTCTAAAATCAATAAGACATGTTAGATTTTGGAGGATTTGGAGTAAGAAACCATCTTGTTCTCACTCCAGCCAACTCTGTGATATTTTTTAAAAGCTTACCAGCAATAAACCAGCAACAGAAGAAGATGGTGGTTACAGACCAACAGACACTGTTGCACCAGTTACACCATAAGCTCAGTGCCAAGAAGACCGGTATGATCCCATACAGGGACATGTAGAGGGAGATAAAAGGCTGTCTGGGACATTGAAACACACCTGAACCTATGGGGTGCAAAGATAAAGATTTGATTTTTCAAACATTGTCTGGCTCATAAAAATAAATTCACATAAATTCAATGTCAGAATGGAAATAAGAGGATGTCTTGCTTACCAACCATCCCTTGACAAATAAATATAAAGTAAAGGAAAAACAAAGTAAGCCCTGAAGGAGGCAAATACAGCATGTTTTCAGTCACAAATAACAGTATCCACCAACTTTATATGTCTGCAAAAACTTTACACATCACTCTCTCACCTATTGTTATGTATCGCAGTCCACAGATGAATTGTGGTCTCTGACTCCCCTGCATTGTAACTAGTTTTGACTCTAACCTATAAAGACACAAAGTGAGCAAGAAGATAGTCTCCTTATGTTTATATTCCTGTTATTAAGTTAGGTTGTAGGGAAAAAATGTACAAGTGCAAATGTCAAATTATAGACATTAGACTGTAAAGGAAAAATTGTGAATGTTTGTACAGTCTTGCAAAAACCGTTCAACAAACAGATGTTTCTACAAGAAACTATAAACCTCCTGTGCATTTCAACCTAGTTACCAAATTAAATTGCATTATGTGAAAGCATTAAGCAGATAGTTGCAGACCTACCTGTTTGTGTGTCTGTCTGGACTTCTTTAAGCATAGAGAACATGGCCACATGTAACATGGGCATGTGAGCACGTTTCAACTTCCTTTTACAGCGTCTTTCACTTTAGCGCTTGCTCCCAATCTTCCCTTTTTAATAATGTTATTTGATTGAAAAGTACAGTGATTTACTGGAATAATTATGGGGGTTTTTTTTGTACTTATGGGTATGTTAGCAACTTTACATAAAAACTAAAAGGCTAAATAATAACAAGAATGTTTTATGTTTTATTTTTCATCTGTTAGTTTTTTGTGTAAGAAATATGAAGCTTGGTACAGTATTTTCAGACAATATCTCTGAGTTTTCTTGTAGCATTACTCGAAGAGTTCAGGGTTTGGATTTCCAAACAGCTCTTTGGTATTCACAGAGCAGAAGAAAAAAAAAGATAACCACCCACTGACAACCTCAGACAGTTTCTCAGTAACACATTCTCCATTTTCACTTCCCACTATGACTTGTTTCATCTGTTTTCTCCCTTTGTTAATTTGTTTTTAATGAATTGTTCAGTGTGAAACACACCATGACAAATTATTCCTGCAGAGGTTGATCAGGATTAGTGGATATGGTGTAATCATCCCATGGAGGCCAAAAGCCAAGGTCCTCCTGTTGCCCATTGATCAGTCCCACATAAGTGGGGAGGGTTGCATCAGGAAGGGAAGTGGTTGTAAAATCTTGGCCAAATCAAACATAATGAAAAATGAGATTTCCATGCTGGATCTGTTAGAGCCTAAGTTTGTTGGTCAAAGACCAAGAAATAGGAGGGGGAACGGTGTGGTCAGAGGCAAAGAAGGAGAAGGTGATGAGTTAAGAACCTTCTGTGACGCTGTCCAGCTCTCCTAGACTAACTGCCGGTCTCCTTGAATCTCCTCTATGTTCTAGGAGATAGCAAACCTTTTGGCAATTGCTTGTACTAATGTGCCAACCTGGAGGAGTTTGACTACCTGTGCAACCTTTGTAGGGTCCACATAGGTATTGCCTCATGCTACCAGTAGTGATACTGACCCTAGCCAAATGAAAAACTAGTAAAAACATTCAGAAAAGATAAGAATGGAAAAATGTCAGTGGCCTCCACCTGTAACACCCTTCCTGTTTTGGAAGTCGCTAGTTCACATGTGGTTAATTTCATTAACTCAAAGCATCTGAAACTGTCTGACAATCGCCTCTGTTACTTAAATGATCAGATTAGTAGTTTTATTGACTTCATGCTATGCTCTTCCTTTATTTTTTAGAAGTATATTTTGATTAAGAGTGCTTAGTTTGAAGTCGACCAGCAGCAGCGTTGGTCAAGTTACTTGAAAAAAGTAATCAGTAACTAATTACTGATTACTTCCCAAAAAAAGTAATCCTGTTACTTTACTGATTTACTGATCTATTAGCAATAGATCTCTCAGCCCAATTCTACTTTTTCTGCATAATCCATCATACAAAATGTAATCAAATGGAAAAGTCTCTTTTTAAAACTTGTTTTATCAGTTTTAATCTTTTAACTTTATGCATCAAGCAAAAATTTAATTATATGCAACATTCTCTGACTGGAATAAATTAGTTTAACATTTAAACCTATTTTCTGCACATTCCAGCACATAAAATAAAATAATTTTTTTTGTGTTTACACTCACTCTTTCAAATAGATGCAAGTAAAACACAGCAGAAAATAAATAAAATCAAAGACTAGCAGTCCTGTTGCTCTATTTTCACCTGTAAAGCAGGAGTGGGGTAGGTGGAGGTTTACCCTGGTGCAGGTGTGCCGCGGTCAGTTGAAGAATCCGCGAGTTTCTCTGTGAATTTCCCATTACGTCATAGCGCACTCGGTGCTTGCTTGGAAGTTTAGGGGTTTTTTTCGAAGAAAGAATCACAGTTTTAGTAACGCAGTAACGCAGTGTGCTTACGGGAAAGTAACGGTAATCTAATTACCTTTTTTGCAATAGTAATCCCTTACTTTACTCATTACTTGAAAAAAGTAATCGGATTACAGTAACGCATTACTTGTAACGCATTACTTGTAACGTGTAACTGTCCATCTCTGGTTAGCAGTGTTACGAAATAACAAGTAGAGGACGTCTAAACTCACTCACTTTCTCATCGAGCCCTGCTTCCTTTTTGAGAAGCCAGTGGTTTGAGGATGAGGATCCTTCCCCAACACCACATCTTCTCCTCTTCGCTGGTCCCCAGTTCCTCTGTCTCAGCCACTGGCCTCCAGATTTCCTCCATCTGCGTCGCTAAGGCCCCAGCAAGCTTGCTTCACCACCAGACCTGCACACTCAGTTCAGTCTTGCCTCATAGACAGGCAAACTCTTGTTTTCTGTGGTTGTCTTGTCTTTGATACTTATTCTGTAAACTTCTGTGGGGTCTCTTGGTATCAGCTCTGAATCGGTAGATACTTAGCAAACAGTCTGTGGGGGTTTTCAGTTATCCCAGATCATGGTAGTTTGAGAAGCTTGGACAGAAAGTTTCTTTAAGTTTCACCAAACTTAAAGAAGTCCAGTCACTTTCTTTAAAAGCTCCTTGGACATTTCAAACAAATAGGATAAAATGATAGGATAGGATAAAATTACTTTTTTGAAGTTAAGAGCAGTTCCCCTTACTTGGTCTAAACCACTGAGTCTTCCCTGTCTGAGGTTTTTTCACTGGTTTTGGAGCAGCACGAGATCTGTCTGCTTTTCCAAAATACTTTCCCTGTTTTCACTTTCCATATTGACACATTTTCTGGTTCATTATAAAAAAATATTATGCCAATTTATGAAATTGACAAAGAATAAAGAAGATACAACAGGGTACTAAACTATAAAATAAAAAATAGGACGATTAAATGAAAGAACAGCTTTTTTTGTTTTTTGTTTTAATTTATTTTTCAGATAAAAAAAAAATGAATAGTTTGGATATTCCTAAATTAAGAAGCTCACACATGGATTTCATTAAGCTATGATTTATATCACACAACATTTTTGTTTACGTTCAGAAAACCTCAAACCTCTCAACAACAAAATGCTGGCACTGTTTTTGCAATAATCCTCTGCACGCAATAAAAAAATTGTCTAAGAAGTCCAACTTAAAAAACACTTTCACGTTTAATGGACATTTTGACTGAATGCTTCTTGCTTTGTCTGCATGACTTCATCAAATCAATATTCTCCATATGTTCTCTTCTAGTTTCTGACAGTCCAACCTGACACTCTTATTCCTTTGGGAAACTCCAGGAGCTCTAAGTTTGTAACAACTTAACCAATAGTGGTAAAACACAGCAAACACCAAGCCTGACAAACAATAAAAATATTATTTGAGTAGATTAATGAAATCATTTGAGAAGATTAAATGTAAAACATTAATTGCTAAACCTCATTGTGATATTTCTCTAAAAGATCAATAGATTAAACACATGTTGCTGTAATATGTTTGCTAAAAGTACATAAGACATAAGGGTGAGTGAATACTTTTGCCAACATACTGTACATGAGACACACACGAAAACCACTCACTACAGTTTTTCTCAATCACTTCGGCACAAAGGAAAGTCATTCTCACACCACTTTATGTACTGTTCAGTTTTATAACGCAGAGTCACTAAAACAAATAAAACATTTTTCAAATATGTCAAAACATGAAGAGTCAGTGAATCACTTCAACTCTGTGATGAATGAATAAAAACCGTGTTGAAACAATTATATTAGGCATTAGGATATCAATGAAATGTATTACAAATTTGAGAAGTGCATTAAAAGTAGTGAGAATAACATTTCTGGTTTGATTTTGCACCAAAGTGATCAGTAAAAATCATAATACCACCAAACATGCTGATTGTGATCTGCTGTGCGTGCCTATGTTTTCATGTCAGCCATCTTTATTCTTTTCTTTTTATCTCCGCAGCAGAGCCTCATTATCATCAGCCTGTTTTTCCTTACAGCAGCAACAAATGTAAACGAGTGCAGCAAACAGCACGTAGGTCAGGATGGTGCTCCAAAATGCAAACAGGTAGAGCGTTTTGTTGCAGTACGAATCAGTTTTTGTTGTGTTCTTGTTGTAGTTTGGTTCATAAATGGAGAAGATCGCCACATTACCTGTAGAAATAAAGTAAAAGAAAAGTAGTAATGTAGTAATGTCTGGTTAGACTAAAAAACAGTGAAATAATGCTTTCATTTTTAAACTGAAAAAGTTTAATTGTCATAACTTCGGTCACAAAAATCATTTTAGTCAGTAAATCAGAACATAAACTAATTTCCAAATGAGATGTTTTAGCTCAGGACCAAGTCTTTATAGATTCTGTATCTGTTTAAAGTTACATGAAAAAATGTTTAAGCATTGAGAAAAGCTAATTTTCTGTGATAATTCTGGACAATTTTTATTTTCAAACCAATATGTGTGATTCTCAGATCCAAGTTGTTCCTCCCTCCACAAAATTCCTTTGCATTTAGATACTTTGCTTTGAAAAAACCTATAAAACTCATTTGCAGCTCCATATTTTTAGTAACTCTCTATATAATCCTGGCCTTAGCAAATAAAGGTTTGAATAGTAGGTGGGTGGAGCCTGAGATGATCATATTAAGGATATCCCCTCTCAGTGACATCATACAGAGCCTAGAGTTGAAAAAGCTATCTGGATTTGATAGCAGTCAGAAGCATGAGCTTCCAGCTCACAGATATCACTTTCACATACACTGACCTCAATTTTTTAAACTTTGTCCACATTTAATATCATGCACAGGTTGTAATATATTTGTGAACTGTAATACTTATAATCATAATTTTTCTTATGTATTTCTTTCTTATGTTGTCCAAAACCGAGTATTGCTATTAATGCTTACCAGCAATGAACCAGGCAAAGAAGAAAATGCTGGTTAACAAGAAACAGATCTTGTTGCACACCCCTATTGTTCCAAGTATCCCAACAACAGCCATGGGTCCATATAGATAAGTGGGGATGAAGGGTTCCCTTGGACAGTCATGCTCGTACAACCCACCTGTGGGGCACAAGGACAAAGTATGACCAGAACTGAGTACACTGCCTGATAGACTGATTATTTGTTACACTGCTCTGTTTTTTCTCAATATTTTTTTTGGTCTACTTTACACTGAGCACATCTATCGGTATACCCAATGAGATCCCAACAAACAAAATGTGAAGCAGTCTGTGTGTTTGTGTGACAGCTCGGGACATGCTAGATGCTTATATTTTATATAACTAATTAGCTTTACATTCATGCTGTAATGGACAAAGACAAGTTCTCCATTATCATCACTACATAAATGCAATAATAATAAATGGACGTTTGTTCATATGGTTTTACGTTCATGTATGTTTGCTATTTCTTCAATTCAATTCAATTCAATTTTATTTATATAGCGCCAAATCACAACAAAAGTCGCCTCAAGGCGCTTCATAGATACAGAGAAAAACCCAACAATCATATGACCCCCTATGAGCAAGCACTTTGGCGACAGTGGGAAGGAAAAACTCCCTTTTAACAGGAAGAAACCTCTGGCAGAACCAGGCTCAGGGAGGGGCGGCCATCTGCTGCGACCGGTTGGGGTGAGAGAAGGAAGACAGGATAAAGACATGCTGTGGAAGAGAGACAGAGGTTAATAACAGATATGATTCAATGCAGAGAGGTCTGTTAATACATAGTGAGTGAGAAAGATGACTGGAAAGGAAAAACTCAATGCATCATGGGAATCCCCGGCAGCCTACGTCTATTGCAGCATAACTAAGGGAGGATTCAGGGTCACCTGGTCCAGCCCTAACTATATGCTTTAGCAAAAAGGAAAGTTTTAAGCCTGATCTTGAAAGTAGAGATAGTGTCTGTCTCCCGAATCCAAACTGGAAGCTGGTTCCACAGAAGAGGGGCCTGAAAACTGAAGGCTCTCCCTCCCATTCTACTTTTAAATACTCTAGGAACAACAAGTAGGCCTGCAGAGCGAGAGCGAAGTGCTCTAATAGGGTGATATGGTACTACAAGGTCATTAAGATAAGATGGGGCCTGATTATTTAAGACCTTGTATGTGAGGAGCAGGATTTTGAATTCAATTCTGGACTTAACAGGAAGCCAATGAAGGGAAGCCAAAACAGGAGAAATATGCTCTCTCTTTCTGGTCCCTGTCAGGACTCTTGCTGCAGCATTTTGGATTAGCTGAAGGCTATTTCTTGTGTCTTATTTTCCCTATTTTATGATTTCTATTGAAATAATGTGGGACACACTGTCTACAAACAGTCAATGCAACAGTGAAAGATGAATTTATTCTGAATGAGCTGCTTCTTTCACTTACCAACTGTCAACTGAGCCACGCCTAAGATGAAAAACATCCCCAAGATGCACGCTGAAGGAAGACGAACAAAGCAGATGTTCACTCTCAAATGATCCCGTTCACCAGCTGCAGACACTTTATATGTAAAAATTCTGCACAGCGGTGTCTTACCTGCTGCTTTTTTTTTTGACGTCCACAGACACAGTTTTGAGGTTCATCAGTCTCTGGCATTATGAGTAGATATAAAATTCACAGGCACAGACACAAAGTGAGCAGATGCTTTGGTTGAATTTATTTGTCTGGTAAATGAAAAGACAAATCACAAAAAAATGTTCATTACTCTATGAACGAGAAATGCTAACCACCCATGTAGTCTTGCATGATGACTGAAGCATCTGAACAAAGATGTTTAAAAGCAAATTTAACAATCCAGGTCACAAAAAAATACACAAAACACTTAAACCTGTGGTAAAAATAATGAAACTAAATGTGACTGTGTGAGAGATCACATTTAGATAGTATATTCTGCCCTATGAGACAAATTCTCACCTGTTTTTGTTTTCACAATGACTTCCTTTCTTGAAGGGAGAGAAAAAGGCTTTTGCTGAAGAACATGCATATAGTGAGTGATATATATATATATACATGGTGGGCATGTGGTCAAACAGCGCTTGTTTCAACTTCCTTTTTGAGTGTTTATTTCCGTTTAATGCTCAGTTGCTTTATGTTCCTTTTTTCATTACGGTGATATGTATTCAGACTTTTCTGGATTGCAACAGTTGAGTGAGTGTTTTAATCACACACATTAAAACAGTGGAAGATTTGGGAACGATTTTCTTGATTTGTTTTCTGTGTTTTAGTTATTTGTTTGGCTTATTTTTAATGAATACTGATGAAAATGACACACCGCTAAAAGCATAAAAGCATGTGTCACGATTGCCTTATTGCAATTCTCACAGCAGAAAAGTCATAATAAGCACTCTTAATGGTGTTCCCAAACCAGTATTGCATTTCCACACCTACATGAGTCTTTCTCATTGTTTTTATACACACTTTTACTGTAACTATGCTTCACTACTAAAGATATTTATTACTGTGTTGATGCACTTCTCAGCTTATTATCCCAGCAGGGTATCTGATCACTGGCGCAGGGAGGCTGTGATAGCCTGGATCTTGTTCTTCCAGTTCAGCTGACTCCTCAGGACTTGCCTGACCCGCTGCAGGTACTTGGTGGTTGCAGTGTTCCTAGCATGGTTCATGGTTCCCATTAGACCGTGGGACTCCCAGGGACTTGTAGCTGTCATTGATGTCTGCAATTTCTCCTTCTGGTAGTTCGATTCCCTCATTTCTGACTCTCTTCTCTCTCTTCGTTACCATCCGACCAGTCTGAATGACATTCCGGTGTCACAGCTGTAGATCCTTGTCATGTGGATCAGTGAACGGATGTTTCGTTCAATCCTGTCATACAGCTTGATGTCATGCATGCAGAGGGGGCGACTGATGATTGCTCCGTAGTTGGTATTCGTAACCAGTCTTGTTCTATTCTCATAATGTCATCTGGCAATGGTTTATTCTCCTGAGAGAGAGATTGCTCCTTTTTTATGATGAAGTCTTTCATATTCTCATTGCTTCTCCACATACTTCACTACTAAAGATATTTGCTTACTGTGTTAATAGATTTCTCAGTTAAATGCTTTGAAATGCAGCGGAAAGCTGATTCGATTATTTGAATTACTGCAATGAGCAGTAGAACAGGCGTACCTAATAAAGTGGATGCTGAATGTATGTAGCGTGACTTTACCTAACAGTACAGTGGTTGGCGCTGTGTTCTCAGATTGTTTATTTTTTCTTCGTTTTTTTGGTGCATATAGTTTAATTTGACTTTTTTGCTTTTTCTTCATTTTATTAATTTTGTAAAGTTTAAAAAAAATCCTTCACATTTAATTTTTGTTTCTGAAAAATTATTTACTTCCCCTGTAAGAAAAACTGACAAAACCAAAGAGCAAACCAACCAACAGCATCTGCTTTCAGTTTCACGAGTCAGTTCTTATTTCCTTGCTAATGTTTCCAGACTGATAGTAAAAAGGTGAAGTGTGCGGGTGTGAAAAGCTGGCACAGCATGTTACATGCCACAACAGATAGTTTCTATAAGCTCCCATCAAACTATATACAGAAACACTATTTTACACACGTTTATTCAGCTTTTACACAGTCTTAGATAGTTATTCTTTAAATTTTTGTGGTGTTTCTTGGTATCATCTCTGAACAAACGGGTACATTTCAAACAGGCCAAACTTTAAGGATAAAATGACTGTTCTGAATTTTGAATATTTTTGAGGTTAAGGGCACTTCTCACTCATTTTTGCCATTCTGAATTCCACAGTCTTTTTAAATTGTTTAAAAATGTATTGAGCCATTTCCTTCGGTTTTTCAGGGGGGGGAAATCACACCGATGACCTGTATGATCTATATGCATCAAATATGAAATATGAAAACTGAAGAAGATACAATAAGGCTAATAAAACAACAGCATGTTATTGTCATGGTCCGGAGTCTGCGACTCCGTGTTTATGTTTTGTCTATTAGTATTCTATGGTTTTGGTTACCTTGGGTGTTTGTATTCTTCTGTTTCATGGTTCATGTTCCTATGTTCTGTGTCCCCCAGTCTGTGTTAAGTTGGTGTGCTATGTCATTGCGTGTATGTGTTTCCTGTTTTATTGTGAAGGTCTGCGTCTTATGTGAGTGTTTTCAGTTTGCCTCCCTAGTCTCGTCACGATAATCACTCCCAGCTGTGTTCCCCACCTGTGTGTAATCTCCCTGTGTTCTCTGGGTGTATTTAAGTTGTGTCTTCTGTCATGGTAGTTGCTGGTTCGTCTGTGTTGTTTCCCCTCGGTCTCCCTGCATCTCTCCATGTGTATTTCCCCGGATCTCCCTGCACCTTCGTTCCTGGTTTGTGTTGTTAGTTTACCCAGTTTAGGTTTCCGGTTTCATGTTCACCCACCATTGCTGTTTGTACCCACTCCTGTAAATAAATACTCGCCTGCACCAGAGCTTCCGCCTTTTGGGTCCTTTCTCCAACTCCACACGGCTTGCCCCGGCAAACCGTGACAGTTATTCTTATTTTCTTTTATTTACAAGTAAATAAAACACAACTAACACATGAATTTCATACATAAAAATTTCATCATATACACTTTTAAAAGGAAAGAGGGTTAAATAAAAAGATGAGACATAAATCATTAATTGTAATTTTACATGGTAACTGCAAAAGTTTCACGTTGCCGTATTAACCAAGATAAAATACTGGGCGATAAGCTCCAAATGTACATAAAACACAGATAACAATAATGATTAATCAATAATATTGATCAATTGTATGCTTATCTTTTCTGATTAATCTTATAGTTGGATCAGGTGACCCTTATCTTCCCTTAGTTATGCTGCAATAAGCCAAGGATGCTTGTGGGATTCCCGAGATTAAGTTAAAAAGGGAGTTTTTCCTTCCCACTCTCGCCAAGTTTTTGATCATAGGGGGTCGTGTCTTGTTGGGGTTTCTTTTTAGTATTGTGGGGTCTTTATGATACAGAGCACTTTAAGCTGTTTTTACTATTGTTGTGAATTGGCTGTATATAGTAATTGAATTATGATTTCGATTCAGTCATGTTTAGGTTGCTCTTGAAATTGAGACCTCATGTCTCAATGAGATTTGCCTTTGAAAAAAGTAAACTATAAACATTGCATTATTTTGGTTATCCCCAAGCAGCGTTTGAGTCTCATTATCATCACTTTCTATCAGAAAATAAACAGCTAAAGAATACGAGCAAAAAAGAACAGCTAACAGGACGAAGGCCAGGTTGGTGGTCCAAAATGCAAACAGGTAGAGCGTCTTGTCGCAGTAATGATCGGGGTCTTTAGTGTTCTTGTTGTAGTCAGGTTGATAAACGGAGTAGATGCGAATGGTACCTGGAGAAATATAAGGGAATCAGTTAAGAAAGCTTGATCATGATTGTGCAGGAGGCAGGAAAAGAAGACACAAATGTGCGCACACACAGGCGAGTATGAGGGTAGGACAAGACTATGAGCAGGGATAGACGCAGACACTAAATACAAGTGGTGAACAAGACCAAGAGGAAACAGCTGGGAGACACGGCTGACATGTCTTTTTTGAGGTGGGCAAAACAGGACATTACGCACCCCGACGGGAGACTGTCAAAATAAAACAGGAAGCAGAGAAGCAGATATGACACAGCGACGTGGACACGACAGGTTTAGGGAGGCACAAAAACAGACCATGGAGCACAGAGACAAGAGTGACAAGGAAGAAACGGAACAGAGGGAGCATGGAATCAATTATTCAATTATTTATTTCTATTTAGTTTCAAAGCTCTTCTTCTTAAAAGCTGCACCAGTGAATTTCAGCCACTTGAAAGCAGCAGAAAACAACACATCACAGTTTGTGAATTGTGACTCTTCTTTTGTATTAGCATTCATTACAGCCTGAAGCCTGACCTTCAGTCATATTAATCTCATGAAGATTATTTGCATCTACAATAACTTTATTATTTAAAACTGTGATCATGTAAAAGGAAACAAGAGTGATGGAAACTTCTTACACTTCAAGCAAGCACAAAGCAGCAATAGGGATATTTCACCAATAATCACCAATAATTTTACTCTTGTGAAAAATCTCTGGGTTTTCGTGTTGTTATTTTTTTTTTATGCTATGCAGACTGTGTGTAATATTTCTCAGTACTGCACTGTTAAGAAACTGTATAATTTATAACGCTTACCCATGATGAACCACATAAAGACAATGGCGATGGATGCAGACCAAAGGATGATACCACACCACCTCTTAGACCACAACCAGAACACGGCTATGAATCCATAACCAGACAGATAGACGGGGATGAAGGGGTCGATTCGACAATCATCAATGTGCACCAATCCTGCAAACCACAAGTATGAAAATAAAGACGGTCAAATGGTTATTACATCATTTTGGTTATTTCATTTTTTTAAACATTGTTTTCATAAAATACATTTAAAAGGAATGCAATCTGAATATGGAGCGTCTGTCACTTACCAGTGATCGCCTGAAGAAAAAACATGATGTGGTAAACCAGCAAGGTGCAAGCTGAAGGAAGGCAGACACAAAGTGATTTCAGTCACAAATGACTCCAAGCTGCAGCCGCAGACGTGTGCAAAAACATTTTAAATCATTCTCTCACCTATTGTTTGACGTATCCAGGTGAAATAAGGTCTTTCACTCTCTGGCATTATGACTAATTATAAATGGACCTACAAAGACACAAACAAGGCTGTGAGACATGCTCAAGCTGTCTATATGTCCGGTAAAAGAAACGATAAGTCTAGAATAAGTATGACAAATTATAAACAGTTATTCGTTAGTCTGTGAAAATGAAATGATACTGAACATACAGCATGTCGAAAATCTGAATAACAAATGGATATAAATGTATATCAAATAGTTATCAAATAAACCTTAAATGTATTAAGTGATTGGATTAAGGCCTACCTGTTTGCACGACTGACAGGTCTTTGTCTTTGAAGAGAGAGAGTTTCATGAGAACTTGGCAATATA